GGGGGGTGGGTGGGGGGGGGGGGGGAGAGAATAGTCCGCAGGCTTCAAGAACATATTCTTGAGGAAAGAACTGGAATATTCAATACACACAAGAGTCTTATTTCACAAACGACAGTGCCTGAACAGTTTTATTTATTGCTTAAAAATAAAGATATTTGTATTCATTAAAAAAGTGGCTTGTACTTAAGACAACCTTTTCCTTTAACTTTAACAGGCAACTATGAAAGATCTAGCGCATCTAAACATTGGTACATGGACAGGGTATATGACCTAAACTTTTATAGTGTTCGACCAAATAAAAACCCGTGAGACTTCAGAATGACAATTAAGGTGTCACGTGGCAAAACATAGCATCCAGAACCTTAGAGAAAGTAGGAGTTCCACTTAATGTAGTTTCCACAATCTCTAGGGAAGTTTATGCCTTTTCACCAGGCAACCTGGCTCCCAAAATTTTGACCATATTCATGGAGTTGCAGAAGTCAAGACTTCACATAGCCTGCCTTCTACCAGGAGGTAAAGCAAGCTAGTGAGTTTCTTCACTTAACTCAGCATTTCATATAGTTATAAAATTGGTAATGCATTAATTCACCAATACAAAGTGTAAATATGTGCAGCATTCATTTTTAGTTAGGGAAGTCTTTGTAATAGGTAAATAACTGAGTGATGTAAATAACCCTTCAATTTATCTTAAGATGCCCAAGCCATCTCTTTTCTCTATATCACTAAATCAAAGGTATCTAGTTTTAATGGCCCTCCTCTCCTGGATGAAGTAAAGCTAATCTCCAAGCATTTGTGTATGAATTTATTCTGGCCATTAGTTTTAGTATGTGCACATGGGTGATGTTTCCTTTCGCTTTATTTTAATTGGGTACAATACACCAAGAAAATCCTGCTGTGTATGCTGGAATGTGTTTCACAGGTTTAAACTGTTTAAGAATATTTGAAATAAAAATCTGCTCAGCTAATAACTGAAGATGCACTTGTTCAAATTGTATCACCCCCAATAGCCATGCTTTTCCTGTCACATACTTGCTAAGTGGTGTGCTGAGGAGAACAGGAAACAGCTGTCCTTACTTGCACTGGACATAGTCCCTTCCTTTGTCACCTGACTGCCATTGCTCAGCTATCCCTGTCCAGCACAAGAAAAACATTCACCACCCCCAGGAGGACTGTAGTTATAGGCCACTCATGTTAGGGGATAATCAACAGGGATAAAAATAGTATGTGTGGGAATAAAAAGGAGGCAGGTAAGTAGGCATGGGAGATCATAGGTATAAAGGACACATGGCAAAGAAGCAAATGCTTATTTCAGCTTTAACTTCTGCCAAATTACTACTGTTCTGAAGTACCACAATATTCATCCTCTGAACTAATGCCTAGACTGGATATGCATCATACTGAATGTTGTCTGTATTCCTTGGAGAATAAAGTGTAAACACTATCCTCTGTTTTCATGTCAGAAAAAGGTAGCCAACTGCTAGACAGCTGCTCTTTTAGTGGAGGATGAAGTGATAAACAGCATATTTTCAATTTTATACAAGAACAAAATGTGTAAACACCCAAAAATATCACCAAAGATAACCAAACCCCTCACTTGGATTGTCCTTAATGCAGCACCATAGCAGCAGTCTGATCTGGGGAGCAAGAGTCTTGCTGCGCATTCTATTGCCTTTTCATGTGAGAGCAAAGGCAACATTAGCAGCACTGTGATTTACTGTCGGCCTTCAAGAGGTCTGGGTCCAGTTTTAGTTTGCTCACATCATTTTCTTCATTAGGAAAGCTTTTGTAGTTGGCAAGGATGTTTTCCACCAAGAATCGAGCAGCTTCATCTATGTTGATATTGTCCTGAAAAAGTTGAGTTAAAAGTCAGTCTTATTACCAACAGATTATGGTCATACCTACCCATTGAAAAAGTTTGGCAAGTAATTTGCTGAAATTCTTTAACTTGACTTGAAGTCTATCCAAGCTGTTTAATACACTTAATATTCCTGCCTTCAGTGAAAGCTGCAAGTCCTTTAAAGCATAGGAAAGGTTGTCCAGAGGATAGGTTCACTTAATGGAGGGAATACTCCATGGCCCACTTTAGTGTACAGCAAAGGTAAGTAGGAGCTTTACTTAAAGGATCTGGTTCTGAAACATGGGCATTGTAGAAAGTCTACTGAAATTCCCCAGACTGTAGAGGAAAGGTGGTCAGGACTTACTGGCTCAGTGAAATTAAGAGGGGCTGCAGTGACTTGGACACTGTCCATTTAAGCCATCCCCGCAGATCCAGCAATTCATAGACTACTAGGACTAGAAGGGACCTCGAGAGGTCATCGAGTCCAGTCCCCTGCCCTCATGGCAGGACCAAATACTGTCTAGACCATCCCTGATAGACGGTTATCTAACCTACTCTTAAATATCTCCAGAGATGGAGATTCCATAGCCTCTCTGGTCTTACATTTCAAAGCCCTTTGTCTCCTCTGTTGCTTTGAGGAGAAAAAGTAACATGAATGAGAGTCTGTCAAAGGAATATATATGTTGGCCTCCTTGATCATAGTGGGAAGCTTGGGTGGAACAAGAATTCATTATTTTGCAGACAAGGGGAGAGTATTTGTAGTTTGTGGGTCATATGAAAATCCACTGAAGAAAGCATATACAAGTCCTGTGTTTGGAGATGAAGATATCCAAGGATATAGGGCATAGTCAATCTTGAGCAAGGACTCTTCACTGACTTCACAGTACTTTAATTGAAATTTGATGGATGGATACAAATTCATATCCAGACACTTTGCTGTAAATATTGTGGGAGATATGGAAATAAAGGACTTGAAGTGAGAAAATTACTATACTAAAATGGGAGCTTCTTAAAATGAGGCATTAGAGTATTAACTTGCCAAAGATTTTAATAATGGCTCTCACCACTTAAATGGTATCTAGAAACCAATAACTGAACTTTAGAATAAGTGGGTTTTGTGACTCATGTTAGGCTGCCAACTCACCCTCTGGTATACCAGCACACACACTACTAGATATTTACTTGGAAGATAAAATAAAGGCCAAAAAAGCATTCAAGTATTGCAAGATGGCTTGTCACCTAACCATTGTGGATTTATTACACGTTTTAAAACATTTAGGCTACTGGCAAGGCTTTATGTAATCAATAATGACATTAGAAAGACTGAATATTATGTCTTGCATGTTGAGGCCTTAAATGCTGACTTTCATAAAAGCTCAGAAATTAATTGTTATACCCCTTAAGGGGTTGTTTAGTTTCCTTTAACAGTAACAAAGACCTGTATTATCAAGGGCTCTGTGGGAATATATCACAGCCTTTTGTACTCTCAGCACTAATAAGCCCACCTAAAGGGAGGCTGCAATGGCATAAGGTATGTGTAAAACTTCCCTGCTGCTGACACTCTGCACTAGCCCTCTGGATCCAAGTAACCATTAGTGATGTCAAAGGAGTTTGATCAAGACACTCCAGTAGAATCGTCAGTGTAAGGTGTCCTCTGTACAATCTGCATGGTCCATGAGGAACCCTGTAACACTGAGTCACCAGTTATCTTGGCACAATTGTTATGCATATCCTGGCACAATTGTTATGCGTATCTTGCTACACAATTCCCCTGAAGGCAAGTTACAACAGCTCCCACTGCAACATGGGGATGCCATTTGCCCTTCACTGTACCAACATGAGCTTACACACTTGCACAGGGTGCATTTGGTTGTGATGGGTCACAGCCACCTATGTTCTGAGGCTGCAGGTTTAAAATTAGGTTGTGCCTTCTTACCTTGCACAGAGACAGGACCAAATATGGAATTTCTCTTACTAGATATTAAGCTAAATAGCCACATGTGCATCTTTGAGATTATCAAAAATATCCCCATTTCTGAAGGGGGCTTTGTTTGCCATTAGTACAATAGTGTTAGAATGTGGTTCATGTTGGACTGTAGATAGAGCAATGAAAGTAGTTGTGAATTCCAAGTTAAAATTAAGCCCTTTCTTTCCTCCAATATTTTCTTAATTTTGCATTCACAAAGGAATTATGATTGGCTTAATATTTTGAGGTGGACTACGACAAACTTTAAAGCATTTTGATTGTTTTAAATATAAACATATGGGAGCAAGTTGAGAACTGACTTGTTTTCTGAGACGCAAGTTCTTGATTGACTCTGCCAAGAGAATCTCATGTGCTGTAGTTTCATCATGAAACGAAGTGCAGCTACGGCACTGTTTTAAGAGAACTTTGAACTCACTTTGGGTAGGCAGTAACTACCATTTGTTGATTTAAAAAAAGGTACTATTACAAACTAGGAACTCTAGATACTTTCCAGGGCACTTCATTATCCATTTTAGCAGTGCACAGCAACTCAAGAATTACATCCAACTGAAACTTCAAGAGAGATCTAAATCGTCAGGGAGAACAAAGTTCCCCTTAATGAAGTTTTAAGCTACAAAGCTTTGTTTAAAATGGTAGATACAAGAAGCAAGGCATTCACCAGTATGCCAACAATGCAGCTTCCTGCAGCAACAAACTGACAGGCAGTGTTCTTGCATTAGCAAGGTCTGTTTGTAGGAAAGTTATTTAGGGAGCTCCCCTCCCCCCACCATCTCCTACTAGGTTTTCCTTAACGCAGTCTTCTCTTCACTTTCCAAGTTCTCCATCTTTGCTCTTAAAGAGATGCCCTTCCTTCTCTGCCCAGTCTCTTCTTGAAGGAGTCTTCCCTTCCCCCACTTTTCTGCTTCTCTTTTCACATACACGCTGCCAGGAACAGCCTTATCACATTTACATTCAGTTTTCCTAGGCTGACTCATCTCAGGCAGTTGAAGGGGAAGTGGGCAAATAAACTGAGGCCTTGTGGTTTGGATCCCTTGATATGCTGTATAAGTAGCCCAATAGTCTTCAAAAAACTCAGACTCAAATGAGTTAGTTTTTAGTGTGAAACATGGTCGATCAAGAGAATTGATAGGATCTCCCTTAGAGACTTTATTTAGCATAGAGGGTTTTTGTATAACCAGTAGATTACATGAAAGGATGGCTAGAATTCTGTACTAGCGTAACACACTGGCCACTTAAAGACTTGGCAAGAACGTTAGCCTATCCACAGAACTGACTGAACACAGCTTTTATTTCCAATTTTTCAGATTCAATTTTGCCCTTCTGTGCAATTAGTTTACCAGTTTGGTCATTCCCTATAGTTAATGACAGATTTTAAGAAAAAAAATCATGCTCCTTTATTTGCTAACAGAATAAAGCTTACCATACTAGGTGAACATGCACTTTGACACTAATTGTACATGCTACAGATATGGGCAACCATGATGTAACTAAAGTCGTGGCTCAACATCTGGTTTTAAAAAGCTTCCCTATAATTTTAGTTTTATGTCTTGCCTCCTTCCCCCCCACCTTCCACAATGAACAGGCAAATGAGTAGTACACCTGTGGCATAAACCCACATATCAGGAAGATAAACGGGACAAAATATGACAGTGTAACTAGTTCCACAACAAACAACTATTAGCTGAGATATTAGAGCCTGTCTCTAGGATCACTGAAACTAATACTTTGCACTCATTAAATAGAACTTTTAAAAGACCATCCTTATTTAAGGCAACTCACCTTAGCAGATGTTTCAAACCACCCAATAAAGCCACCTTCCCTGCAGAACTGGTCCATTTGAGAGGAATTCTGGCTGCCATCTTTTTTCTGGTCACACTTGTTTGCAAGGAGAACTGCAGGTATGGGGCTGCCATTTGGAAGGAGCACTTTACTGTCCAAGTCATGTTTCCACTTGGAAACAGCTTCAAACGTGGAGCCTCTTGTGACATCAAAGACCACAAGGGCACCGACTGCCTCCTTATAGTACACTCTTGTCATGTTACCAAAACGTTCCTGGCCTGAAAGACAAAGAGCAACAGTGTGAGGGATCACCAGATGTGTGTTTTAAGTTAGCAGAAGCTAGAGATATAAGTTGCCCTAATAATTAAAAACAAACAAGTTTGTCAGATTGAAAAACCAAGTGAACTTGTTTCAGTTTACCTAATGAACAATAAATTTGTACTTCATCCTAGAGTCAAAAATTTCAGTCAGCATACAAAGACCATTGCAATGCATATCAGAGTACGGTACAACTATTATATATATTGATGAATGCTTAGTATCTGACAAATAGTCAGTGGTAAGGATTTCTCTTGACTCCCATTAGGAGAATATGGCACTGATAGTGTCACTGAATTGCCAGAACGACATTAGGATTTCTTCAAATGGTTGGATCCTATAGTTGCACAGGTTTCAGAAAGCCCACAGTGGATTTATAGCACACTTCAATTTAGTAGCTAGTTCATAGTGACAAATGTTACTGCCATAGGCAATATTTAAGACTACCGTATCACCTTTCAGAGGGATAGCCGTGCTAGTCTGAATCTGCAAAAGCAGTGAGCATAAGCTTTCGTGGGCAAAGACCCACTTCGTTACGACTGCATCTGACGAAGTGGGTCTTTCCCCAGAACTGAAGCATTACCAGTCTAAGGATTTGTAATTATCTTAGTGACTTCAGTCTGTGCAGGAAATTCCTGTAACTCCTCTGTGGAGCTAGAATACAACATCTAGCTCTTACCAGAATATTCATAAAGGTGATACAAAAGCGGTGAGGAGTCCTGTGGCACCTTACAGACTAACTGAAGTGTTGGAGCATAAGCTTTCATGGGCAAACTTGCATACACCAGTTTTGTCATCACTTAACCAGGTTAAGGAACTGTAATTCACCAGCCTTGCAGTGGAAAGGGACATTTGCTTAGCTCAATAATTGCTTTAACCAAGAAACCCTGCAGAAAGAGGTAGAAGTACCACCAAGGTCTCCATTTCACAGATGAATGACTGCTTGGGAAGTTTACACCTGCATATAAGCAGTTTGTTTACGATGTTTGTATTTTTGGTATGAATAAATAAGTACTTTGCTTTATAAAGATAGACTGTCACTGCACTGGGGAGATCAAGACAGCAAGTGTTGAACTGAAATCAGACCTACTCAGGTGACCACGAGTCCAAACCCCAACGTAAAATCCATGGGCACCTGCTCTGAAAAAGGTGCACCTAATGTGGGTACCCTCAAGGAGGCCACAAAATGGTCAGAGGCAGTTACTACATGGTGTGTCAATTTGAGGTAACAGTAGAAGTCTCCTGTCCTTAGGGAGACCAAGTGCATTGCAACAAACATTACTGTCCCTTTCCTAGAAAGGGACAAGTACTCAAACATTTGTTACTACCAAGAAGTGGCTGAACATCTGGAGTTTATGAACCCATTTTTAAGTTAAGGTCCATTTTAAATTTAAGTCTTTTCTCCAGAGTGCTTTTGAACAGTGAACCACTTCAGAGTGAAACAAGGAACCACAGTTAGAACTAGGGATGTTAAACTTAGTTTTATCAACTAGTCAATGGATTTCCCATCGACTAGTTGATAAGTGGAGAAGCCACAGTGGGGTTTTAGATGTATTAAGAGCCTGCTGGCTCTTAATACATATAAAAGGCTGAAGTGCAGCAGGGGGTACCCAGTGAGCCAGAAATCAGCCAGCCTGGCTTGTGCCAAGTCCCCCTGCTGTCCTTCTGATTTTTAAATGTATTAAGAGCCCACAGAGGCACAGCATTCCTTCCACAATTCAAGGGTACTTTGGTCACAGACTGAGACAGAAGTGTGCAAGTTTGCATCAAAGCATTTAAAAAAGGGGGGGGGGGCGCGCCACGGTGCATCTTGAAGTGAGGCCATAGCCAAGTGAGCCATCCCTAGTCTTTTCAGTTTCTTTGGTTGATGATGATCCCAGGTAATTTACTGCCTCTGCAGCTTCTGTTAACTATACAATGCATATGTGGATATTACTAATAAACATGACGCAAGCGGACATAACATACAGGAAGAATCCATATTCCCTCACTGTTTTCAAACAGTATCTTGACCACAATGCAACAATAGTTGTAGCAGAAAAATTGTTAGTGCACCTGAGGTCAGTTAAAAGGTGACCACCAGTTGGAAGCCTAGCTCTTTCCACTTATCAAAACATTCCCCAAAATTTGTAACACTGTGCATGTGTTAGAGTTGGGGACAAAAATATACACTTTAGTCTGACAGTCGTTTTCTCCAGTTGGTATCTATTGCTGTATGTACTATGGCAGTGGTCCCCAACGTTTTGGGGTTGCTGGGTGCCTGGGGGCGGGGCCGCTCATGCGCCGCATGTACGGGGGTGGGGCCCGCTCATAGGCCATGTGCCTGGGGGCGGGGCCAAGCATGTGCTGCACGCCCGGGGCCAGCGCCAGCATGCGCCGCACGCCCGGGGCCAGCGCCAGCATGCGCCGCGACCCCGGGCAGGTGCTGCCCAGGCGCTCGCGTGGCGGGATAGAAAGCCCCGCGG